GGCGGCGTGGTGGTGGGGGTGGAGGTGGAGAAGGTGGCGATGGAGGTGATGGTTGTGGTGGTGTTGGTGGAGGATGAGGAGGATGAGGATGTGGTGGTGGTGGTGGCGGTGGCAGTGGTTGTGGAGGTAGCGAATGTGTTGGTGCAAGTGGTGGAGTTGGATGTAGAAGTGGAGGTGGTGTCATTTTTTAAAAAGAATTATGGTATTTTATTAAAAAAAAAATCATTAAAGGTTCATTTCTACTTATTTTGAAAGTAGCTTTTTGAAAAGCAACTCGGAGCCTGCTTTTAAAAGCTGCTGTTAAAAGGCCATTGTTTTTAAAATAATCGAAATATTTTATTTTTAGCAAATACCTTAAATTGCTTAACTTTAAAGTAAAGCAGGAATTTGACCAAAAAAAGCAATCCTAAACGGGGCCTAAATCTTCCATCTGTCTCAAATAGAAGTTGTGCTAATCTTTACCATCAAATTCGTATCAAGTCATTATGTCTTATGACCTGTCTCTTGACCTTTAGTAAGCCCTCTTTCACTTGAGAAGACAATTACACACCTAGCTAAAGTACTCCTAAAGATTATAAATTCAATCTTCCTTGTAAACATCGCCAGGCTTTACCTTCCTTTCACTTACTGGTATGCTGAAGGACTTGTCCGTCTGTACTGCAGTCTGATATATAGATAGTTTCAGAGCTAAGTACTTCCACTGTTGCCAATTTGTACTTCCTTTTTCCTTTTATCTTTTTGGTTTACGGTACATGTCTATCTGTATCTCATATTGTAGATGTTGGTCTGTTAATTATATATGTTGATTTTGTTCATGCTGGTCGCTAGTTAGAAGCAAGTTTAAGCAAGCATCCACATCAACCATATTCGACATATTGAAACTAAAAAGAGAAGGGCTTTATTTATTTCTATTGAAATTAAAGGCAAATTAAGTGTGTTTGTGAGAGAGAGAGAGAGAGAGAGAGAGAGAGAGAGAGAGAGAGAGACTTATAATTAAGAGTGAGAAACACCCCCTCCCTAGCTGGCTACACGTAATTAACATTCATAATCTATAATAAAAACTTAATTGAAGACACATTAACAGGGTAGACTCTCATCCTTATTTATTCATTAAATTCTTGCACTAATGATATCTCATGAACTTCTTATTCCTTGATTCATGATCACTTCACCCATCATCACCACTTGATATCTCCAGTTGTATGATATGATTGATTATATGGAAATGAAAGCTGAGCTAGCTGATCAGCGCCTCCTGTTTGCTGGCTCCTTCTGGGAGTTGAAGTAGACGGTGGAAACAGGCAGTCCAAGGTCGAGCTGCGCAGCGAAAAACCGAGTGTTGAAGTGCGCACGAGAGGACTGCTGCTCCACCAGCCCCATCGGACCCTTCTGCTGAAACAGCACCAGAATGTAGCGGTGAATTCCCACTGGTGGCCTTGGACCCACGTAAGCCAGTATCTTTTTGTATCTAACTCCAATTAATATTATTTATTGTTGTTGCTATATATATTCATTATTCACCCAAAATAGCTCAAACTTAAACAAGTTGGCGTTGAAGTCCTTATTCGTGTGCTTCTACTTGCACTACCCAGAAACACAGACATCGTGCCACGTGTAACCGACGTGGTAAGCGGTTACTACCACTTCGACAAGGTAACCTTGACAAGTGGCACATACGTGTTAGTAAGTGGGTAGGTGTTCCTGGGATTAACCACGTGTCGTCTTTGCTATGCAAGGACGACAACACCATTTGCATTTAGGAAGAAATTTTAAACTCGTTTATTCGATATTTATTTTTGAATGAAAGAAAAATATTTTAATTAAAATAAAAATACTAATTTTGAAGTAAATACAAATAAGGTAGAGAAATTGGAAAGGGGGCGTGCTGCTGCAGGACACGTGGTTACCCAAAATTGTATTACCAAATTTGGGCAATTTTGCGGCTATTAGTGACAGATGCTTAAGAGGTATAGGAGTAGATGCATGTTTTTTCTAGAATATGGAGGGGACATCCACTGATGTGATGTAACCCTGAAAAATTTGATGGATTTTATGAAACAATCTGAAAACGTTGGAAGCCAAAGACATGCATGTTTCTGATTTTGACTGGAAATGAGCCTTTCGCCAGAGATTCTTTCTTTGACGCCTGTGTCGACTGTGAAGAACGGAATAATACCTCTGCACGACTTTTCAGCACAAACGGGTTTAATCAATGACTAAAAACTTGTTTTATGTAATATTAAATTTTGTTTAGATTTATGTAAATTTGTTATGGGGATTATATATGAAGAAGCCTTGTTACAGCGTGCATGCAAAGCTGCAACAACAAAGTGAAGATTTTACCTCTAACAGGGCTTGTTCCTCCAGGGATGTCAGCCACGATCCTGAAACCACAAACAACAATGTGCATGAAGTTTTTGACAACGCCATTAAGGAGATGGAAGGAAAAGTAGTGAGATCAATGAAAATTAAGCAAAACATAATCCATGCAAAGAGAAGAAGAAAGCTGACCAATGGACCCACTCCCTCATGCTCGGCTCACTCGGGCTCGGAGCATCGGGGTCTGTCATCACCTGCTTGAACAAACAACAAAGGTGTTTAAGACATATAGAAATTGAACATTTAAAAACTCTCTCTCATGTCATGCATGCAAAAGGATCAAGTTGATCTAACGGCTCTCGCAGCCACATACATATATACAATTAATCACATACGAACAGAAACAAAAAGAGATAAAGAGATGGTAGACCAGAGTGTAGAGCTCGCCGGGCTGACCAGAGACTGTGATCTTGGGGGGGTTGATGGCCATGGAAGGTTTGATATCGCAGCCATTGGTGACATGCTTGGACCCAAAGTAGACAGACATGTTCACAGTTGGGACAAACATGTCCACCACATCTCCGATCACTCGCCCAACAACGAGAGGATCAACGGAGGCAGCCATGAGGAAGGAAGGAAGAGAGAGTAAAGAGGAAGAAGCAGCTAAAAAGCGCTAAGCAAGACTTGCTGTGGTGCGCGGAGGGCAGAGGAGGGGTAAGGTTTATATAGGAGGGTAAAAGTGACATGGGCCCTCATGGAGTATGTGTAATCTATGGTACATGCATAGGCCATCAAAAAGCATCGTGAAGCAGAGAGCAACACGTGTACAGCCACTCTAGATGTGAAACCAACATTTCCTTGTTTCAGACCATCCAGATGGCGGAATCATCACCGTCCGTTACAACCCACCACCGTACACATGTATTAGCCAACAGTAGGGAGTTTCGGAACCCCCCCTCCTCTCTTTCTCATGCAACCTCAAGATAAGCATGAACTCAGGTCAGGACAAACAGCTCTTATGGAGTCCACGGGAAAAGTCAGTGGTTTTTTGAGAAGGGTACAGATTGTAAATGTGAGCCGTGCTGCACCACAGCACAGCCTTCTTTGTCACTCCAACTGGGTGTGTTATTGTCTTTTGTACATTCTGGAGGTTTGCTGAAATAGGTAATGAAAATTTCCCGTCAGCAACGACCTGAAAGATTTTCTACAAAAATGTTTTAGAAGATAATGGGGCAGTTTGAAAGACAATGGTGTGAGCATAATACTGGAAAAGTTGATAATGGCCCCCAGTTCTTCTGCCAACAGGGCCCAACAGATTCTGACATACCAATAGGAGCATGTCAGACAGTGGCATATTGGCATAGACAAGGGCTTCGGTCTAATTTAGGCAGGCAGGCCAAATCAGCCAGGGTGAAAATATGCCTTGGACTACAAATTTTTTATATAGTAAATCCCTAAGTTCTAGATTTTGTAGGACCGCTAACAGAAGGGAGGTTTTGCGATGCACGATCGATTTTCATTTTTAAGGTTTGGAAATGAATAACAATTCAAGGTTTTGATTGTCATTGGAACTAGACAAGGCCGAGCACGCAAGGCATAAGGCTTGACATAACACTTATTGGGCCATGGCTAAAGCTAAAATGGTCCTTGGTTGTGCTAGGCGTGTGTGAGAATTCAAAGCATAGGACCTGACCTCCAGCCAAGCCCAACCCACCATGTAAATGGATCGTACGAAAATAACAAAACTAAGTGAAATAGTTTGGCCAAGTTCATTTATCAAGGATGTCGGGACTTGTAGTTTAAGTGGTTAAAGATCGTTATCATTGTACTATTGTGTTGTCCTGTGTTCCCTCACTCAATACCGCTTGTATATACATATATTTTTAAAGCTTATTTAGAACTTTGCTAGGTTGTTCCAGGTAATATCCACTTGATCGTCAAACTGAATTGCGGGTGGGGTCTCTGCTCTTTTTTGTTTTGTTTTTTTGGTTGGGTTACATATGCTACTGATTTTTAACCAAATTCATTTTGGGAATTAGAGTGATGGGGGAGAGAATGGAATTTTGGCGTTTTGTATGCAGCTCCACACTGCTGGCTGGCTCAAATCCTTACCTTTCTGCTGCTGCATATACCAAACCATAGAAGATAAAAGGCCCCTTCTTGGAGATGTTGACATTTCACAAATTTCCCGTGAAGAACACAACTGTCACAAAATAATGCCACCAAAGAAGTTACATGCAGCACCCATAATTTGTCTCTTCAAAACAAAACAGCAGCCCTTTGAGACATGTTAGCAGAGCCCACGTGAGATGTTTTTGGGCAAAAATCCTCCCTATTTTTGGAGAATCACAGAAAAAAAACTTTCAATTTTAGCAGAGCACATCAAGTATCCAATGCATAGGGCAAGCAATTGGTCATGTCATAAAACGTAGAACAGTTACAGAGTACAAAAGAATACACAAATCTGATGGACCACGGTTCACAAATTTTTGAACAGCAACCTGCTTAGCCCTGAACTAACTTTGGATGGAGCATAGGGTAAGCTGCACAAATAACAAAGAAAGTGACATGACGCAGAGAGAGATGGAAGCTGCAAGGATACTGGATGAGGAATTATCAGATATTTCAGAAGAATCGACGGCTAGAGGCATTCCATCACTGTTGAGAGTGCATGATTGAGGATCGGAGCCATCGGCGCTTAACATGATGGCCCGGAACACAGATGTAACTGTGTGGATGTAAGCCGTTCGATTCTTAGCAAGTAGCCATGTGAGACCCATCAGCTGACAATCTTTGTTGTGCATTTTGGTGGTCCTGTCCTCTAATTTGCTTGAATTGAAAGTCTTCTTCTTGTTAAGCTGCACAACATCAATTTCCCAATTAGAATTTTGGAAGAAGCAAATGAAAGAGATGGTCATCTCATTGATTGGGCAAACAAGTGTTTGGTGCGTGAAGTTTAATGTACTAATTAGTAGGTGCAATATCAAATCAAATTCATGCTAGCAAGCATATTTGTTGATGCACATTAAACTAGAGCCTTGAAGAGTCATCAATATTCCAAATGAATAAAAGAACCTAACTAATCTCCATCCCAACCAACGACATACCAGAAATTAATAAATATACTCACTCACTTCACCGGTCATTTCTTGTCGTGCTAATTTACCGACTCTCACTATTTGTTTTATATATCTACATTCTAGCATGTAAATGTAATGCACTTGCTCTCATGGCGCGTCTGGGGTTATAGTACAAGTTTTAGCAAAGAAAGTAAAAGGCATAGGCATAAGCACTTTCCTAATTAGCAAGCACGGAACTTTGGAAGAAGACCTAGAAGAAACCCTTATCAGATTCTTCTTCTTCTTCTTCTTCTTCTTCAATTTGTGGAAATCTAAATAAATAAATAAAAAGTGATGGATTTACTTACAACTATAATTATAAAAAAATTCAAACAAAGATAGAAACTTTGCAATTAGAAAGAAGAAAGGATTTACTTACAAGGTGGAGGCTTTTTAAGCATTTGGAGCAGCCACCAAGACCCGGAAATCCACTGCTGCTCAAGCAATTTCTCTCCAACCGCTTCACGCTCGCATCCCCAACAAGTTTCCCCCTTTGGTTCACTGAAAATGCCTCAGGACAACTCAAAGGGTGCAATCTTATCCCACAATAACAATACACCACATCACACGTCTCATTTGGCTTGATCAGTTCTATTCCTCTGGTTTTCAGCGCCTCGCCCAGGTCCTGAACGCAAGTTTCTGAGTCATCTGGCAGCAATGGCGGGTCAATGTGGGTTTGCGTGTGCCCCGCCGCTGCTGGGCCCACTTTGCCGCCTCCGCCGAGGGCGGTGGCAGAGTAGGCATCATAAAGCCACGCCGCAAGCACAGGGCAGCACCTGCTGTGCTGCAGCTTCCCTAAGGAGTCGCCTTTTGTGGCGGAGCATGCGGACTTTATGCCGTGAAAGAGCTCATTTGGGAGGTGGAGCGGGCACCCGGCTATGTCAGATTGTTCTGGGAATGCAGGGATTGTAGCAGCAGGGGGATATGGAGTTCGGGTTGGGAGGAATGACGACTGGACTGGGGACGGGGCCGGGTCGGGTATGGGCGGGAAGGGGGAGAAGGGAGTGGAGCGGCAGCGGAAGATGGTGAAGCGCGGTGGGTTTGCTGGGGACATTGGAAGAGAGAACAGGCCTTCGGCCTTGTGGGTTTGTACTTTTGGTTTTTGGGTTTTCTTTTTTCTGTACAAACAATAATGGTGTGTGTGGGGGAAGGGGGGGTTAGGGGCACTTGAGGAGGAGAGTGATATAAATGAAAGTAAAGTAATATCTGTTAGTGGTGGGTGTGTGTAGGAGCAGACGAAAGTGAGAAAAAAAGGAAGGGTGGGGTTGGGACTGGTTTGGCTGTTTGCTAGTTTTTTTTAATTTTTTTGGGTCGAATGCTGTTTATAATTGTAGATCTAACTTTAGCACTGTGCTATATGTGCCAGTGTCTATACAATGTGGATAAAGTTGGTGACGATTAGCAAATTTGTATCATGAACAAAGGAAATTAAGTTTGCTTTACGAGATTGCAATTTGCAAGCCTGAGTTAGGCCAATTATCCGTAGTAGTGAATTTGTTCTCTTGCATCCAAGTGAATCCACCTTCATTTACACTATCAAATGTGTGTATATATTAAAATAAATTTGTTTTACGAGGCTAAGACGTCTCATGTATAAATAACGTTCTAAACCCTAAAGTCAAAAAAGCATTTGAGTTCCCAAGTCTAGCAACAAATCAAACATGCTTAAATAACTCATAGGCTAATAGAAAATTCATCGATTTTGTGTATTTGTGTGCAACTTTTTTCTTTCATTCGTTTGCCCCTTTCACTAATGTAATTCATCAACTGGGTTACCACCCACTACTAATTTGTTATTACCTAGAAGACATTGACAACCTTGGAAAGACGAAAGTAACGATTCCATCATCTTTGACTGTTCTTCAAGCCTTAGCAAAGCGAGAAGTTCGAAGCCTAGGTATTATTTTAACGCAGTGGAATCGACTTTAGACATAAAGCACAAGAGTCATTGTTGCCTTGCAGAAAGTGAACAAAAGACTTCTCACACTTGGAACTTTTCAAGTTATCTTTTCTTTGCTGTGCTTTCATTATTTGGTTCATTTCCAGGTTGGTTGGTTCTAACTTGTACGTATCCACTTTGCAATTCATTTGCCAAATTGTTGTGTAATTAGCTCACTGTTTATCTTCTTCTGCCTATGTCCAAGTCTTGATAGCTGATACTCAACCTCAAACTTACTCAAATACAGGATCAGTTCAGAGACTCAAAGGGAAAGGGTATGCCGTAAAAACAGTAAACCTCTTGGAATGGGTGGTAGCCCGTTTCTGAAAAAGACCTCTGCGCCCATGCTAGCTGACGGCAAAAATACCAGCAAGTATGAGATTAGAGCCGGTTACAGCCAAGCTGAAAGCTTGAGCAATATTAGTTATACCTGAAAATCCACCACCATTAAAAGAAAATCTATCGGAGAGCCTTTTCCAAGCAAGTTGGGCATGATGTCTCACTGCACTTCTTGCCGGAATGACAGCGAAAATACTGGAATAATTTATCTGGTAAAAGTATTGTACGCTGAGAATGGGGTATTTCCTCTAGCAGGAAACGTAGTCCCCGTAGAATCTATGTTGGGGAAGACGGAGGCCAACTCTAACAATTGTCCCATACTTGTCCGCTTCATATTTCAAAAGGAAGAGCACCAACTATAAACAATTACGCCAATTCCAGTGTATCACCACAAATTATAGGCGACTGAATCATCAGGAAAATAAAAAAATAAAAAAAATTCCGCCTAATTGGCCTAGGCGGCTCTGGGCGGTTCTGTGCGGGTTTTTTTTTTCCTGACTTTAAAGAAAGCCCTCACGCTGTCACCTCCTTTACCCTATTCCAGAAGCCTCACCATCCCAAAAACCTAGCAATTTACTTTCATATTCCCTCTCCTCCATAACCACAAAGTGACAGAGCCAAATGGCTGTTCTTCAAGACCAGAAACAGTGCTCCTCTTGTCCCATACTTGTCCGCTTCATATTTCAAAAGGAAGAACACCAACTATAAACAATTACGCCAATTCCAGTGTATCACCACAAATTATAGGCGACTGAATCATCGGAAAAAATAAAAATAAAAAATAAAAAAAAAATCCGCCTAGGCGGCCTAGGCGGCTCAGGGCGGCTTTTTTTTTTTTTTTTTCCTGACTTTAAAGAAAACCCTCACGCTGTCACCTCCTTTACCCTACTCCAGCAGCCTCACCATCCCAGCACCAACTATAAACAATTAAGCCAATTCCAGTGTATCACCACAAATTATAGGCGACTGAATCATCAGGAAAAAAAATAAAAATAATTCCGCCTAGGCGGCTCTGTTTTTTTTTTTCCTGACTTTAAAGAAAACCCTCACGCTGTCACCTCCTTTACCCTACTCCAGCAGCCTCACCAACCCCAAATTTCCGATAAAACCCTCACGCTGTCACCTCCTTTTCCCTACTCCAGCACCCATCATCCCCAAAACCTAGCAATTTACTTTCATATTCCCTCTCCTCCATAACCACAAAGTGAGAGAGCCAAATGGCTGTTCTTCAAGACCAGAAACAGTGCTCCTCATGTCCCATACTCGTCCGCTTCATATTTCAAAAGGAAGAGCACCAACTATAAACAATTACGCCAATTCCAGTGTATCACCACAAATTATAGGCGACTGAATCATCAGGAAAATAAAAAAATAAAAAAAATTCCGCCTAATTGGCCTAGGCGGCTCTGGGCGGTTCTGTGCGGGTTTTTTTTTTCCTGACTTTAAAGAAAGCCCTCACGCTGTCACCTCCTTTACCCTATTCCAGAAGCCTCACCATCCCAAAAACCTAGCAATTTACTTTCATATTCCCTCTCCTCCATAACCACAAAGTGACAGAGCCAAATGGCTGTTCTTCAAGACCAGAAACAGAGCTCCTCTTGGCCACCAACATCCAAAGGTTCCTCTCTCTCTCTCTCTCTCTCTCTCTCTCTCTCTCTCTCTCTCTCTAAGATATGTTTACGGTTTTACTGGCAAACTGAGTATTTGACTCTTTTATTTATAAATAATTTGCAGAGTAATAGGGGAAGACCACCAAAGAACAAGGAAAATCTGTTTAGGAAGAAATCTTCATCTCTCACGCAGTCACTGATGACTAAAAGCATTGTGACTAAAATCTGTTTAGGTTGTTTTTTTTCATTTAAAATATTTGATTAGGGTTTTGTGTTTTGAATCATTGATTAGGGTTGTGTTTTGATGAGTTGATTAGGAATGAAAGTGCTATTGCTTTAATGTTTCAATGTAATTTCGTCTAAAAAATAATTTTCAAACTTTTACACAATGAACTTATGGCTTAAGAATCCTGAATCTGCCACTGCTTGGACATGTACCGCAGGCGCAATACGAGTTGCATGCGTATGTAAAAGCCTCACTCTCTCTCTCTTTTATATTTTCAAAGCTGCTGCTTCTTTCTTTTTGTATGATATCTTACTTGTCGTTTATAAATGAAATTACTTTTACTATTGTTATTGTAATTATTGAAGGGAAAAGAAAGGGCTTTGAAAAGAGGGGAATTAAAGATATATTTTATACCAGAAAGGACTTCCTTCAATAAATATGTTAAAGATCACTTTATCATCTTATAATTATTCTAAGTTATGCAACCATTTGGTATTCTTTCTTATTGAAACAAAAAGACCAAAAAAAGTCGATCCTGATTCCTGTTCTGTTTGTATTGGCAAGCACATCACCCCCTTTTGTTAATCAAAGATTCAAGACCATCCAGGGGAGGGGACTGGGGGACTGTCCTTTTTCCTTGGCTGCTTTGCTTTGAGATCCTAAAAAGCATATATGTATATGTATGTATACATACATCCAGTTTTTGAATTGCATAATCATGAGCAGGACATCATTCTTTTATCGTGATTGATTACTTTGTTGAAAATGTTCCATACATTTCCCCTTTGATTATCTTACCTTCACCCACCCACACCACACACACAGAGGCAGAGATAGAAAGGCTCCATTAATATACTCTAGCTAGACTGTAACCCCCCAAAAGCATGTAGTTCTTAAGAGCTTGAGAGCCATTCTCATGTCTCAACAGAACTTCTACTAGAGCAATATCCAGATTTTTGCAATTCATTTCAGTGCATGTTTCTGGTTCATAATACTCAAGAGTACAAAACCTGTATATTATACAGAAAAAAATAGTACAAAACCTATATATTCACAAAAAAAAAAAAAAAGTACAAAGCGTATGCTCACCTAAAGCTTTGCAAACACTAGGAAAAGTATGGCTCCAGCCTACAGACTGGTGTGACAAAGTTTTGTTAAACAACAACACTTTGAGTTGTCTCTGCAAACACCTCAACATGAGGGAAGATCTTTAGGGGGAGGAAGCACCCACTGAGATGCTCTTGGACCATTTTGGACAATTAATCCTGAGGCAAGACCCCAGGAAGTATGCTCTTCAAGATGACAATGAATGAACCATACTCCCGGGTTGTCGGCCTTGAATCGAATTGCAGCCCATCCTCCAGTTGGAACTGCCACTGTGTTTCTTTCTGGAGGGTCAATTAGGTTGTATTTTGCTGGATCCTTGGCAACATTGAAGTTCCCAAACCCCCTTCCGACTATGAAGAAGTTGTGGCCATGAACATGAATTGGATGGTTCTCCACATTAAGAAAACTTGTACCCTGCAGCACAATTTCTAAATTTGTGCCAAAAGGGACTTCCAAAATTTTTGTACCGAATTGAGTGTTCATGTTCTCTGACACTGGATCCACCCCTGTATAATCAAATGGCTTTAAAGGCTTTTCTGGGAAATCGGTGGAGTACTCATTGTTTCGGAGTTTGTTGTAATGAGATTCCAATATTGACAAGGAGGGACGGACAAAGGACTGGTTGTTCATTGAAGCAAAGAATCTCTTGTCTTCATACCCCTTGCAGGTTTTGTTAGCCGGACAGTCTTGAAGGTTAAGGCTTACAACTGTCACAACTCGCTTGTCGATAGTTTTAGGCACAGTGCATGGATACTGAGGAGATGCCAGGCTTCTGAGCTTGTCAGAAAATTTAGTCACAAAGTTGGTGTCTTCCATTTTAGGAAGGTTGTATTTGTTTGGTTCAAAAGTACTAGGCATCTTTTGCGGATGTTTAATGTTTTCAGTCACTGTGTTTTTGTAACGCAAGAAGCCAGCTGTGGTAGAATTATCAAAAGGAAAAACGGAAGTGAGATAAGGCCAGGCTGCCATTAGAAATGTGCCGGAGGAGTCAGGAACTTGATTTGCAGTGAGCAGAACATTGGTAGTTTGACCAGGAGCTACCATAATGGCTGTGGCTGT